CCGCAACCCCCCCGGACCCCGAGCCCCCGAGCACGTCGGCAACAGTGCAGCCTGCGCCGGCCTGCGCCCGACTGTCTGCCGCGCCCGGAGCGCGGGGTATCGACTCAGGCAGGGTCAATTCTTTCTGAACACATAGTAAACATGAGATTAGGCGGTGCTCATCTTTTGGCGACAACGCGGAAGAAGGGCTCGCTCGCGCTAAAGTACAGTTTGTTGAGTCCTGGGCTCGAGCTGCCCGTTGACCTGCAGCAGATCGTTACCAGGGGGTGAAGGGTCGGGTGCGGGACGGGGAAGAAGATAGCGCTGGCGCCTGCAGGGTAGGCAACCCCTTCGATACCACCTCTCTTCTGTGGCGTCTCTCTTGAAGTCTTCCCCATCTCTCGTTCGTCCAACGTATTTGCAGTGAACTGGTGCACAACGCCCGGGCGGCAACCGCGTGCCGCACGTACTAAACCTGAGCTTCATCAACAACTTGCTAAAGCCTCGCCGTGCGTATCTACGCGCCGAGTGGCCTGTTTGTTTGCCTGATCGTTACAGTAGGCCGAAGCCGAAGGCTCAGTAACTGATCTATCAGAATGATACAACTTCAGCAAACTGCCGATACAACTCAGCGCGTTCAAGTTCCCCGACAAGCTCAAGCGTCAAGCCGCGTCAAGCAGAGAAACTCACCCGATACAGCCTACACGGCCGCCCGGGACCACCACAAGGGGATTAGTGCTAGACACACGAGCGGTCTGTCTCACTCCGCTGCCCCGGGCGTCAGACGCAACCCACCCCGTTCTTTTTATTACCACACCATTGACTTGCAGAGCTTTAGGTCTAACTATGCAAGGTGGCCGACTACGCCGCGCACTTTCGTAGTCCGTACCGCATCCACGGGTGCGAGCGGGTTTGCCTATCCTCGCTGCCCACGGTTCCTTGAGGCCCCATGCGAGCAGGCAACAAGCCTGCACGCGTGCATGCTGTATAGTATAACCACAGAAGTGCGCTGCGCGAGTCAGCCACCTGGTATGTGCAGCAGGCGCGTCGTACCGTAACAGTGATTCGTGAGGTATCGCGAAGCCAGTTACGCAAGACGGTCTGGCGAAGATTTAGTTGCATTATTTTTACTCACGTTGTAATAAAACAGTCGACGATTTGGTTAATTAACACGACTAGATTAATATTATATTAATTAAATAATCAGTCCATATTGTAAGTATGAAAATTTTTGAAACATATTTGTAAAATATACATCATAACAACGAAGATTCGAGTTATTTTGTGATAAAAGCATCATGACGATATCACATTTATGATGCACAATTATTTGGACAGCTTTGATGGATATTTGTGATAAGGGGTGGGCCACAACGGGTGGGCTGCAGCCCCTACCAAATGATGCACTTCTTGGTGGGGTTCATGGGACTGTCCGCGGGACAGCTCCAAGTCTCTGCGAACTCGGGGAAGTTGGAGAGGGCGCCGATGACGCGGAAGCGGGCGGGGCTGTGCGAGTCCCGCAGCTGCAGCGCGTCGAACTGCGCGTCCGAGTTGTGACACCACACCTGCCAGGACCAGAGAGCGGTGGTCGATGAGGAGTACCCAGAGAAAGCGATCGGCATGGACAGCCTTCGTGAGGCTAGCTCAGGAAGGGGCTTGGTGATTGTTTTGGGGCTAGCCATGAGCAAACCATGCGATGGTTTGAAGCGAACACGACACCGTGTAAACACAGATTGAGGCGGAGCTTACGTTGGCGAAGGCGAGGAAGAAGAGCTGCTCGTGCGAGTAGTTGTTGAGCCCCGGCAGCGCGGGCTCGCGGCCGTGGCGGTCCGTGTACCGCCGGTAGCCCAGGAACGCCTCGCGGACGCCGCCGTTGTCCGCGATGTTCTCGGCCAGCGTGAAGCTGCCATTGACCTGCGGGGCAGTCTCCTCAGCACGCGTTCCTTCCCCCTGCTTCGGATGTCGTAAGCTCGACGACTTACCCTCTGCGTCGCTGTCACGTTGTACGTGTCGTACTGCTTGACGAAGCACTGCGCGCGGTCGTTGTACTCCTTGGTGACGTCGGGGCGCCACCACGAGTTGCGGAGCCCCTTCTTGTCGTACTCTTTACCCTCGATGTCGAAGCCGTGCGTTAGCTCGTGGCCCAGGATGGCACCGATAGAGCCGTAGTTCAGCACCCTGCGGCGGGCAGCAGGCGAACAATCAGCACGGGAATTGGGGAATGGGTGCAAAAGTTACTGTAATGAATGCGATCAGTGAGTGTGCTCTCCTCTACAAAGGTGCGGTACGGTAAGTTCATTTCCGTTTTCGTACTTACTCCAAGCCCAGATAGTAAAATGGAACCTGAAGGATCCCTGCAGGGATAGCTACACACAGAAGAGCACATTTCTAGCCTACTGTCTTTGGAAATGTTAAACATTGTCCACACTCCTCTCCCCTCACATGTCCCTCAACAACACACCCCAGCTCTCTCTCCCCCGTGCTCACCGATGGAGTTGATGGCACGGCTGTAGAAGGCGTTCACCTCGATGGGGTCCGTGGCCCAGCGCTCCTTGTCCTTCTCCGCGGCCGGGTCCTTCTTGTCCTTGGGCGCGATGGTGGCCAGGAGCGTGCGCACCTCGCGCGCCTTCATGTTGAGCATGTTCCAGAGGAACTGGTCGGGCTGCATGCGCACGCCCTCGTAGAAGCGCTCCAGCTCGCCCGCCTCCAGCAGCCACTCCGGGTAGCCGATGAAGGCCCGGATGGCGGCCGCCTTGTCCAGCGTCGCGCGCTTGGTCTCGGCGTCCATCCAGCGCACGGCGTGCACCAGGTCGCTGAAGGCCGCCGTGATGTCCGCCAGCATCTCCCGGACCTGCACCAGAGCAGCGCAGAGCGTCAAGTGAGCGCGCGCCCGGGGGGTAGGCAGCCCAACCAGCGCGACGGAGCTGGGCGGAGCCGGGCGAAGCGCGACACTCACCTTGCTGACGGTGTCGCGCAGGGGGTTGACCACCGCCATCTGGTAGCTCACCGCCATGTGCATGAACGTCTTGACGGCGCGCACGCAGAACTTGGTCCTGGAGGCCATCGGAAACAATCGTTCGCAATTATTATTTACCATCGCGGGCGTGACGTGCGCCCCGCGGCGGATAAAGTAGTGATACGGTGACGGTGTGGCAGGGCAGCTCCCTAGTATAAATGTTATCTGCACTTTGTAGGAGGCGCGCTCAAGGCGAACAATCAGCTGATCAAACAAATTGGCAAGTGCGGCTCGGTACAGGCGCAAGGCGTCTTGGCAGAAGTGTATAAAGCCAGGCGCGCGCCCGGCCTCGCCGCCCTCCTCCGCAGAGAGCACGTCGCACGCCAACCACCGCCATGGCCGCCCACCGCCTCCTCGCCGCCCTGCTGCTCGTCGTCGTGGCCTTCGCCGCCCTCGCCGCCGCGGACCTGTTCGCCGAGGACACCCGCTGGGTGTCCGTGAGCGAGGAGCGCATGTCCGCCGTCAAGAACCTGATCCGCGTGCCAGCCAGGTGCCCCTCGGGCTACCGCTACTCTAACGGCCGCTGCCGCGAGTCCGTCTGAGGCCCCCAAAGCCGAGGCCCTGAGGCTGAGGAGGTACGACTCCAACTACAGTCGATTTGTTTCGCTGTGTAGTCGTCTAAACCGTATTGCACTTTTTCATCAGTTTGGACTGATTTGAACATTTTCCTTTTAATTCGTGCAAGTGTCGACCAATTTTTTTCAAAATAAATTTTTAAGTTTACCGGACCTGGATGAGGGTTGGAGACCCTTGTAAACAGTAGACAGCAGGGTGTGCTTCATGTCTCGGAAGAGCTGGACCGTGTGTGGGGAAACTGTCTCCACCACTTTCCACCACACCAAGCGCTCTGAAATCAAACAAATTGTGTCAACCACGAGTGGAAAAAGCTAGTTTTGACCATGGGAAATTTAATAAATGCCTTAAACGAATAAGAACTGACGTATGTTTTCCGGCTTCGATCGGTGCAGAATCACAGCCATGGCCTTGAAATAAGATGGGTCCGTCACCAGGATGGGGTCCTTGTCCACGTCAATAGTGGCGTTGAGGCCCTCGAAGAGCACTTCCAGGTACTGGGCAAAGTCAATCTGGAACGGAGAAAAGAAGGGTCAGGAAATGAATGTGCTATGTTCAGATTCATTCATCGGCAAGTACAGTGTGTGGCCAGCCTGCGCCTTCGTCAGAACGGCAGATTACCCCCCCCCCCCCCCCCATGGCCACCTTTTCACACTTCCAATCTAGGCCCTACTGACAT